ATTTCGCCCAGATTTGGCTTAAATCGGGAACTTTCCATTCTTCTCGATCCTTCCTTTTCTTCTGCGGAAATCTTCTATTTCTCTTCAAATCTTCCTTTTATGTTTAAACTTGACTTTTATTTTCTTTCTGCGAGTAAACCGTCAAAACGTTATCAAATCCGCGGGTTTGATTCCGTTGAAATCGCGAGATGGGTTTTATTGCGTTTTAGGTCCCTCCGGACCGTTTTGCGATAAAAACCGTTTTCCGACTTTTACGGAATCGTTTCCTGATCTGACATCGTTTTTAATAAATATCTCGAGTTAATCGCAAAGTTTTACGATTTACTCGACTTTTTATTAAAAACACGTTTTTTACGACTTACTCAGCGTTTTTTATTAAAAGCGCGTTTTTTATGATTTCAACGAGAAATCTCGAATAAATCGTATAGTTTAGGCAATGTTCGGTGTTTCGTTTAGCCGTTGCTGTTTTATACGATTTCCTCGAGTTCTTTCCGAGAAAACGAAGTTTTACGGTTTTTGTCGTAAAACTCGAACGGTAAGTCGGATCGAGACGAAACGAGAGACATTTCGGCCGTGGTTCAGAAAGCGACCGTGTCGTAAGGTCGTATGCCTTGAATCAAGGATGTGGGAGATCGAGGCTCGGGATGGTCGGCTCGACGTACGGCGAGCTAGTTCGGCTTGGCCAGGTCGCCATATGGCGAACTAGGTGATAAAAACCCGTGGGGCGAAGTCAGTAGATCGCCTGCTGGCGATCTAAGCCGAGCTGGCTTAGATCGCCAGCAGGCGATCTAGTCGGGGAAGTGTAGATCGCCTGCTGGCGATCTAAGCCGAGCTGGCTTAGATCGCCAGCAGGCGATCTAGTCGGGGGATTGTAGATCGCCTGCTGGCGATCTAAGCCGAGCTGGCTTAGATCGCCAGCAGGCGATCTAGTTGAGGAGGCGTAGATCGCCTGCTGGCGATCTAAGCCAGCTTGGCTTAGATCGCCAGCAGGCGATCTAGTTGAGGAGGTGTAGATCGCCTGCTGGCGATCTAAGCCAGCTCGGCTTAGATCGCCAGCAGGCGATCTAGTCGTGACTAGATCGCGTTCTGCGGCGGTTTCGGTTTTTCGCGGTTTTGCAAAACGAGTTCTCGAGTTTTAT